GTCTTCCAAACATGGTCAACCGTCGGCTAGCCGACGTAGCACATTGGTGACAATATCACCCAATGCTGGGTGTTTCCCTCAAAAGAGGATTCCACGGTCATTAGGAGGTCGCGAAGAAGGGGAAATTTACCAAGGGAAGGCAGGCGGGCATTTTAAGGGTGAGGGTCAATGCGCATTTAGCAGCGAAAGGTGTGCCTCCAGTGGAGACCAAGCCGCGGCAGGCCCGCCTTCCCGCCACCTGACTCTAGCCATCCAACAAAGAGAGCGTTAGCGTTGAAGAGGGCAGCACCAATGAGAGTCGCATCAATGCGGGAATCAACGGGTAATGAATGAGGTCAATTTCTCGGGTTCTGGACCGTTTCTCGTGGTTTTTTCTGCACCATTGACCCACTATCCCTTGATTATAATGACTTTTCATGACAAACTCCTGCCTTCGAGAGAAACCTGTTAGTTTTGGAAAGTCCTTTTCTTTCTTTACGATCAGTTCGTGCACTGATTCAACTTTCAGGAAGGAATTCAGATCAATCCTATTCGCGGATTACGGAATTGAAAGTTGAAATTTCTCGTAAATCTACCAAAATGCCTTTTTGGCCAGAAGAGGAGATTTAGCTTGATTGAAAGGGAACCAGCAATGGTTCCGGACGTACAAAGTTCCACAAGCTCTTGTGAGTTTTAATTCGCTTTTCATATCCGCTGTAAATGCTCAGCACTAGAGCAACTTTTGCTAGAACTGAAAACAGTTGTATGGTCGCCAATGTGTTGAATAATATTGTTTTTTGAAGTTTCACAAAGGGGGATCATAACGGGAGAGGTATCGATCATTGGAAAGGAGGGAGGGGGTTGTACAGCTGAAATTTGCATTCCACAGATGAACCTATTTGTAACCTACCCAGAGCGGCGAAAATTCGTGAGCATGCAAGTGATAAGTTCAGCCGATCGGTGTACGTTAGACATATACCGATCCTCTGCAACAGCTCGGCTGGAAGTAGCTCCATCTGAAACACAACTCAAGGGGCCAAACTTACTCAATGATCACTTCATGATGTCTTTTAGTAAAGTAAGAAGTTATTTATCAAATGGTGTAAATCATTAGATATCGTGGAAAATAAACCAATGGTTCTCACAACACTCTTAAGTATAGGACATTTATTTACATTCAATATAATGGAACGTACAACATTTACGACCGCCAATCTGCGTTTTATAAGATATTCGAGTGAGCTAATCTTTCTGATAAGGAGATTTAACGATGACGAGGAATCGAAATTGAGTTCTCACGAGTACAAATGAGGTACAAACACGCGGCAGATCAACCGTAAGATATGAATAAATAAATATTTCACTAAAACAAGATCAACAGATAACTAAGTGCTGCTACATTCCCCCATCGTTTACTGCGGACAGAACGACCTACATCCGCTATGCGTACGCTATCCGGCCGTTTAAGAACCCTCTCCGATTCCTCTTTTCGTCGTTGCATTTCCTTTTGAGCTACCCGCATCTCCTCCTCCATACTCTCAGCTGTCCGTACACTTTCCAGGCGCTTCTCTGACCGAGATGTCCTCGATTCCTAAAGGGCATCATTGAACTTATGTATCTTGTCCAAAGCCGTAAAATGTGGGAATCAAGCACGCGGTCGCGTAGCAACCGACAACAACTGGCGACCCCACGGAAGATGATCTTGACGTGTTTCTAGCCGAAAAGAAGAAAAACACAAATGATTTCATCAAAATCAGCCCATTAAAATAGGGGTTATGTTCTCGCTTCCAGCAAAAACTCTTTTGCATTTATATAAGGCGCTCGAATATTCTTTGATAGTACACATAAAGAAAATCTGGGTTGAATGAGGGTTACAATGCGCCCATCCTCCGGCAAACTCGCTAGACTTTTTCCTCTGCATTTTTATATCTTCCACGTTATTGCTACAGAAACTGAGAACAAAGCAGCCCACCTTTACTGA